ATCCTTATTCTCTGTAACAGGGCTTTAAAGGTAAGTGAGATATTTAAGGAGTGATTTTACCAGTTCCACTCCCCCAGAGAGTTTCCATGGCCAAGGAGGGATTTGAACCCTATTCTCCAGAGTCCTGGTCTATCACTCTATCCAGTATACTACACTGGGAACCTTATACTTACAGTTGCGCCACTTAAATCAAAGGAAATTTATTAAGATGAGAACCCTTGACTTGAACAGGGGTACTCTATGACTACGTCTGGATCTATCTCAATGGATTTTAAGCTAAGACAAGTTAGTTTGATGGTTTTCCACCCCTTCCTGCACCCATTTGTGCCTCCCATACAATAATCCTATCAAAAAATGGTCAGGGAACACCCCTAAACAACATGATGATTGTGAGAGAAGGCTCCTAAGAGAGGTAGAAATCACCCCAAATCAGAATTGCAGCATATGGTAGATTAACGTAAGGAACTACATAGAAACAGAGTTTCCAGTCTGCCTTCGCTGCCATATGGTTCAGTGGGGTGGGGGAGGCGTGTTTCAGGTAATACGTAAGAGGTAGAAGATATCAGAAAATGTTCTGTAAACTGCAAACTTCCATAGATAAATGTCAAGCCAATTTGTGACTGCTTTGCCTGTGCTTATCATTTAACAAAAAACACACAAATTGGGAACACAGCCTTACCTTAAGTTATTTTTTAAAAAAGGTTTTTCATTTATATTTTCTTATCTTATATTCACACTTTCTATGGATAAACACAACAAATACATTTTAATTTCCAGTACTCTTCATTCTACAACTTCATAGTCAGCTATTAAAATACTAAGATACCTAATCATCAAAATTGGACAAAAACATAAATTATCATATTTCAATGTACTGGTGATCAAAGTGCTAGTCATGTAAAATAAAATGTAAATGAATTGTATATATATATATTTATGGAACCTGATCTTTGGAGGGGGCATCTTAGGAGCTTTACACAGCAATGCTCGCATTTCATCCCTAGAAGTTCAGTTCAATATATAGTGTAAGAGATCTGTTTGCTTCATTTTGCATTAACACATGTACAGCTGAAGGTGTACACATGTACAGCTAAAGTGCACTGAAGGCGCAACTAAAAATGTAGACTTCTTTTTCAGTCAACATGCAAGTTGTGGGTCTATAATGTGACAGACTGATTGTAAACAAACTGTACACTACACACCTTTTTACTACATGCAGGAAATGCATGGGATATATTTTACTGCTGGAACAATTACTTAGCATTAACTAAATCATTACCTAATGGTGGAAAATGAATATAGATTTTCTCAAAGGATAGGCAACTGAAATCTTTATAATACAGTTGGGGATACTACACTTTCCTTATGCATTCTACAGAACCAGTTCACTTGCATGTAAGTCTTCTGCAGATGGCAACCTAGTAGGAAAACATCACACCATCCACAGGAACTATATAGGCACAATATCAGCAAAATTCTAAAAAACAGCATTCAATAATACTGATGCTACACAGAAAGGTATCAATACTATTGATCTTTGTACAGTGTTTATCAACATGGCAATTGCTCATGTTGCTACTAATTTCCTCATAATACTGTATTTGTTCTGTGTACTTTTGCAGAACACAGATCAATTTAAGGAATGCTTTAAAACTATAAAAAATAGAGTTGTTATTTTATAGCAGAAGTCTGAATACAAAATTTATCCAAAGCTTGTTTAAAAACAGCTTTTTTTTTGTCTTTAGCTGTATACCCAAATCACTGTAAATATATTCCCTGGCACAGTAAGATACTCATGATGCAAAATTCTTTGAGGATATTGCCTTTTATCACAAAATGACTTTCACCTAGCTGAGCATCTTTCCATTTATTTAGGAAATAATAGCAACTGTGCTTTAAAAACAACAAATAAACTGTCAAGGCTATTGTGTCTAAAATTAGATCTATGAGGCTTATTTTGGTGAGTGAACACATCCTGGATGGCTTGGATCCTGTAAATTTCAATCACTTGGCTGCCTACGATGATGGGATGGGGAGAAAGAGAGGAAGGATGCTGTGGTATGCATGCACTTCCTGCAGTCACAACAAGCCCGCAGCACTCTGCTTCTTCATGCAAGTCATCCTGTGGTGGAGCTGTGATGTTATCAGCATTCATGCTTTCAAGTATCCAGTTTGTGGCATGGCTATTATGACTCCACTCTCAGTTAATTATATTTCAAACCATTGACCAAGACACTTGTTTTGTGATCATATTCTACTTATGTAATCTCAGCAATCATGCCCAGTCCGATCAATAAAAAGAAAAGCCCCCACATAACATCTGCCTGTCAAAAACAGAGAGGCAAGTCCAGAATGTGAGTAGCACTTATAAATTAATCGTAAGCTTCCCCAAACATAATTTTGCTATACTGTTTGCTCATTCTGTCCTCCACATGGTAAAGAATAGAACAAAATGCTATGGGGCTAAGCTAGGTAGTTCAGTGAGGTGATCTATAACCTGATGGGTTATCATGAAGACAAAAGAATAGATATTCTGTGGTAAGGCAATGTGCAGACAAGGTTTCTGTGCAACCTTGAATCTTTGTACCGGTTAATTTTTTTTTTAAAAAAAATCTGTTCAATTGAAACAAAAGGCTTATAAGGCATATAAAATCTGTGCAAGTGCAAAAACAAGGAGGCAGTTATTTTTAATACAGAGACTTACAGTCAAGTTATAAGCAGTACGTATTCTTCAAGACTGTTGTCTAGGCAAATATACATTATTAACTTGCTACCAGCTGTGCTTCAGATAAGTATAATCACCCCAAAACCTGGAATTACAGATGGACATAATACTCAAGCCTACTAAAAAAATAATCAAAACCACAATTTTCTGAGTGCAAGTAATACCTTGGCAATTTTTGTTTTGTTGCTTTTCATGCCAAATATTTTCTGCAAAGACCACTTCCACTATAAAGGAAATTAAGCTCCTCTTTGTTTGGAATACAGAATATTAAAAAAAAAGACCTGATAATATTATAATCTCCAGTCCACCTTGTAGAATGAACATTTGCAGAATTTCAAGCACTATAATAGTTAAAGAGTTTTGAAATGTTTAGAAATAAATTTTGTGGTCTAACTCCAAATTTTTTAAAAAAATCATCATTATGACTAAAGGGTGCTTCAGTTATAAAGAACAGATGTTAACCACGTTGCTGGTTATCACTACCAGGAAAGCTAGCTAACTTTTATTGGTTATCGATACATTTTGGTTATTAAAAGTTATAGAAATAATTTGCTTTAGCTTTATCAATAGTGTTAATCCCACACTTTGTTAAATATACATGTGTAGAGAAGCCTCTGCATACTTAGTAGGGTGCATCCCACTCAGTTCAATGGGGCTTTGTTCCCAAATAGATGTATACAAGATTGTAACCATAGTTCACATGATCCTTTAAACAGAAAAACTCACTACCAGGTTTGTTTGTCTAAGCTCATTTTGGCGTCCCATTTATGGGTCGGGGGTGGGGGAGCATCACCAAAAACATGCTGCACAGTCAGAAGGCTGATCACATGAGACATTAAACAAATGCATTATATTTATTGACCTGAAGGGGATGTGCCCTCTCATCTCTTAAACATGCCATTATAACAAACAAGAGACAAAACTACAGCAATTTTCCCTGTCTCAGCGAACCAGCCTTGTCATCATCCACAACACATTAAACACTGAAATTCCTGTGTTTCAAGAACAGCAGTAGTTTTAGAAGGGAAAAGAAGAGGGGAGAGACTAAGCCTATTATACAGCAACCAGTGGGTGACTTAAGATATATGTAAACTGGCATTTTAGGCTAACGCACATTGTGCTTCTTCACGCCTAGGAGAGAAACATACAAATTATCATTCCTTTAAACACCACAAACACATGCCACTTACTGCCTTCTCAGACACCTATAAAAAAGGTTAAGCTGTGATCAACAGGAAACCCGATACAGCTTAGAGTGGCACCCAGCAGTGGCACAAAGTACCTGAGATTCAAACACACACACACACACACTGCAACACACACCTCTGCACCTTCCAGACTGTGGCACTTGTGCTACCATATTATTACAGCTGTCGAATGATGAAAGGGAGTAGATAGGGATCCCCATGTGCTAGATGCCATCAGTTGCAACTCTTGGCCCCATCCTGTGCTGAAGAGTGCTGGCACTTTGGAGGGTGGTGATGAGGAGTCATTAATGATATTCCTAGAAATAGACTCTGACGGCTGCCAGATGCTTCTTGGAAATGCAGCAGTTTCTGCATTAAAGAGACACAAGGAGTTGTTCAAGGTGAGGCGCTGGGGCAGAGGTAGGGCTGAAGAGCAGGGCAGGGGCAGCCAGGAGGGCAAGGCACTAGGCAGGCAGGCCCGGATGGGCAGCTGCTGGACAGAGCCAAAGAGAGGTGGCTAAAAGGGAAAGGGAAGGGAAGTGCAAGGAAGGAGAGGCAGTCACATTGAAGGAGGAATAGAAAGACAGGAGCCAGGCTGTGGTTTAGGGAGTGCAAGGGAGAGACCAGCAAAATTAAAGTACAAAAAAACCGAAATGTAAACAAAAAGAGAGGATAGAGAGAAAAGGCGCTATATGTGTGCGTGTGTGTGTGGGGGGGGTTGTGACCAAAATGGCACAGGAGGCAGATCCAAGAGAGCGAGTTTCGAAAGAGAAAATAAGACACTTCCTTGCAGGAGAAGGGAAGAAACTGCGGGTTTACTCTTAAATAATAACGAATAACAATAATTGGACTCGGAATGTGATGGTCTCTCATAAGGGGAGGCTGTTTTTTTCTCCTTCCCTCCTGAAAACTCGAGGGCAACAGAAGTGAGATGGAAGAGCAGGAAGGAGAACCTAGCACCGACACGGACACCAGCACACCACCCGCCGCGCTCTCCCGCTCTCTCTCTCTCTCCCTCACACACATACAGGCACACGCACACCTCAAGTTTGAAAGCCAGCCAGCCAGCCAGCCTCTCCCTGCCTCACCAGAGAGAGTCCAGGTCCCATTCCTGCAGGAGCGCCAGGTCGAAGCTGTCCATGGTGAGGTCGGTGGACGAGGAAGAGGAGGGCGGAGAGAGGAGGAGGAGGAGGAGGAATATGTCAGCGCTCCTCAGCAGCCACAGCGAAGCGGCCAAGGTGCATCTTAGCAGCGCCGCGGGTGGGCGAGAGGCGAGAGGGAGGAAGCGGGAGGGGGGGCGCCTCCCGCGCGCGTCCCTCCCTCCCTCCCTCTCTTCCCTGAGCTGAGCAAGAGAGAGAGAGACGCAGCGGCTCGAGACACCCGCTCGCTCGCTCCCTCCCTTTCTCAGCGAAGCGCCACCGCTCGCCCGCAGGCGGCGGCTGTTCCTCTGAGCGCCTTTTCCCCTCAGCTGCCTCCCTCGCCTCTTTTCCTCCCCTCCCTCCCTCCTTCCCTCCCTCCCTTTCTCGCTCGCTCTCCAGCGATAGAGAGCGCGTGGCGGGGTGGCGGGAGCCCCGGCGGCTGGCTCCGGCTCGCGGTGCACGCAGGCTGCCTGCCGCAGAAGCGCGCCAGCGGCTCCTCGCCGAAACCCGAGACAAGCCGGGCTTTCTCCGCCGGAGTGTCAGCCTCTCTCGGCCCCGCTTTGTTTCCTTTTTCCGCGCTTTCGCCCTCGCCGCGGTTTTTTTGCTTTGAGGGCTAGGGTTGGTTCTTTTGTTGTTGTTGTTGTTGTTGCTTTTTTTAAAAAAAAATCGGGTTGTTTTCACGGCTGCAGAGTGCATTTGTGTGGTTCAAGACAGCCAGAGGTGATGCTGCAACCCTATTCGCAGACGTTCAAGATTCACAGCCATAAGTGGCGCTTTAGCAATGACTCGGGGAAAGAAACAGGCAGCCGAAAAATCGGCTCACTTTTTGCTTGTCGCATCATGTCATGTCCATAATTATTTATTTCGCAGACACACACAAAGGGATTCCCTTTTGGGGGAATGGTAGGTCATTATTCTCAAACAAGGGTCTTCTGACTTCTCTCCCGGGTTGTGTCTGGAGGCGGGGAGGGGGGAAGGGGGAGCCATGAGGCGGGAGTGACTTAAATAATATTTACTGTCAGATCACTTTCTCCACAGACGCCCCCCCCACACACACACACACTAATATGTCCAGGCTTTTGACCACTTCCAGAAAGGTGTCTCTATAACAATTTGCGCTTTTTCATCATGGGGTGGTGTGTAAGGGTTTGGGGTGTTTATTTATTTGTGTTTTTCCCCCTGGTCTGCTTGATCTCTCTCTCTCTCTCTCTCTTTAATGGACAGTATGTTTTTAAATGCTAGCGTAAACTCTAAATGCCTGGGTCCACAACATATGTGAGGTTGGGGAGGTAATTCTTTTACATCATCTCAGCTATTCAGATTCCACCCACCTTTCCCAAATGTCACAGCCCTATCTAATATGACGCACACTTTAAGCAGTAGCTGGGGAAACTGTTGAATGAGGGAGTATGGAACCAAGTCAAAATCAGAATGGCCTTATAAAAGATCAGCATAGATTTGGGATCAAAAATCTGTCCTGTATCAGTTTATGTTTCTCACTGTGTAACAGAAAGACAAGTGAAGATACTGGATGTGTTTAAATAAAATATTTCCCATTTAAAAATCTAAGTTGCCGCATGCACAGAGATACAAAACAATGCAATAAAGCAGGGATGAGAAGGTTTAGGCCCTCCATATGTCTTGGACTACAGTTCCCATAATCCCTGACCATTGTCCCTGGGGCTTCTGGGAACTGATTTCCAAAACATCTGGAGTGTGTAATGTTGTCCTGCCCTTTTATAAACGATCTGGTCTCCACTCTGTTCAAGGTCAAATGCCCTTCCAACCTCCTAAGTAAAACCACTCTTTTGAACTCTTGAGTAAAGGTAACCACCGTTTAATTACAAAAAAAGGGAATTAAGAGTAAGCGCCCCCCTTACTTTACTTGCTTAGGCATTGATTTTACACCAATTTCCCTTTACACTCATTTACAGAAGTGGTCCCTAGTTAGTTCAGTGATACTATGCACCATTGCTGACAGTTGTAGTACAAGAATAAGCATCTTCAGTTGTGAAAGAATCTCTAAAGTAATTATCTTCACCGTATCATAATAAAAGGATTAACACTTACATTAATATGCAGTGTTTCGATTTACCTCGGTGTGAGCTGGGGTGTTACTACTGAGTGCTGCTAACAAGCATAAATTCAACATAATTTATCAAGCACATTTCACTGTGCACACGTTTAAGTAGGTTGTGTCCCTAACTGTCATGTTGTATCACAATGGAATATTTCAGTAACAAGTCAAACAAATGTGCATATGGTTTCTCTATTAGTTGTAACTTGTCATGTGCTGGAGGGTATTTTTTAGGCAACTGAAGCTGTGCATCCTTATTTTATTAGACGTTCATGTATTCTACATGCTGATAACGCTTACACCATTGCTTCTTGCATGCCTTCCAGAAATACAAGGTGTTCCAAAGGCCAGCGAGAGTCAGCCCACATCAGTGTTTGACCAAAAGGGGAAAGGTCCATGAGTCAACCCACATCTCTGTTTTCTGATTATGTGCTGCCACAGCTTGGCAAGCAGTCTCTCTTGTTGTATGGGAATGTGAACATGGATATTGGGCTATTGAACATGGAACTTAAAGGTCACTTGTACAAGTAAGACTATTTCAGGATCTACCTAAGGACAAACTCTTTCAACAGTCTGCTGCCTTCCCTCTATAGCCGAACAATACTGGGTGTTTCTGGTGCCCCACTGATTCTCTGATGATACGTATGTGTGCAGTCACTATGCATAAGGACAATGGACTCAGATGCTCAGTATGAGGAAGCTGAAACTGGATCGACAATCCTTTTAAAAAAAGAAGCAAAACTGGGAGGTTGTTTGGTTTTACCATATGGCTAGCTGAAAACACTCCTCAACATTAGGAATGCAGTTTCTGTCTTTCCCCAGTTGATTCCTCCAATATCCAGAATCCATCAGATTCTGGAAGCCATAGACCCAAAAGGTAAGTTTTTTGAGCTGTCCTTATTTCTCTCCCCCTTGTCTATCAGTGAACCCAAGCATTGCCTCCATATACAGTTCTTTACTTTTCTCAAGATCAATAGCTAACAGCTATTTATATGTACATCTCTCAATGACATAACAGAAGTCTGAGAAAGTAAAAGCAAAAAAACTAACTCTCTGTGTGTGTTAGAACCTGAGTTTGGCCCCCATAGGAGCATTTGAGAGCCAAGCTTCTGTCTGAAATACCTCAGTCTGCCAACAGTATGATTGATTGCTCTGAAAGCAGGAAAGTATGTTGGAAAGTGGATTTTATAGGGATACATATATATATCAACAAACAAGTGAAACCTACAAAAATCTCCAACAAAGTTATAGTTGCAGAGATGTTTGGAGGAGCAGGCAGGCCTCTTGGGGAAGGCTCAGGATCTGGGGCAGCAAGAAAAGAGAAATAGCAAGTACTTATCTTGCTTGCTGAGTGGTAAAACACCAGAGCACTACGCACTCATGCTGGAACCTAGCCAATACAGCCACATAAAACATACATGTATAAGCAGTGGTGGGAAACCTTTGGCCCTCCAGATAGTTTGACCTTTAGTTCTCAAAAGCCCCAACCAACATGGCCAGAGGGAGGGGAATGTGTTGTAGTGTGTATCCAAACATCTGGAAGGACAATAAGAGATACTCTCTCATTTCAGATCTCAATAACTCTCAAGCATAGACTTAACAGATAGACTTTTACAGCCTACCTGACTTTTGTTTTTATGATTCTTTCTCTGTCTGTCTCTCTGTCCAAATGGCACCATGCTGTATTCTAGTGGGACAGGCAAATATATAGTGCTTTGTGGTATAGATTATTTTCATTTCAACTTACATAAGCTCCAATCAGCATAACCAGTTATCAGAGATTTTGGGAGCTATAGTCCAAAGCAAGAGGACACCAAGATCCACCAAAAGGAACCACTCCCTTGAACATTCCATGTTCTTGCTACACTCTTTTCTTCTCCTTTTTGATCACTGATTGGAATCTTGTTGCCAATTTATGCTTGCATAAGGATCTTGGTGGCATGTTGGTGCTCACTGTCAAAGTGCCGGTTGCACTCTTGCATGCATGCCCAGTCATTCAGCCAGGTGTATGTCCAGGAATGCAACCAGCACTTCGTTAATAGGCAGGAATTTGCCAACAAGAACCTTATTCAAGTGGAAATCAGCAATAGGATTCTGGCCAAGGATTAGACAGAAAGACAGATAGACACATATATCTGCATACTAAGAAGTCCTTTGTATATGTAGAAAACAGTAGTTCAGTTCCAGTATGCTATTAGTAAATAGAGCCATCTTAACTGGTCAGCCAAGTTTGCTATTAGAGGGAATATTAATTTTAATGTTATCTTGCATTTTTAAAAACCTACACACAACAGAGGAATAATTCTCAATAGATGGTAGTATTCATTACTGGGTTAAAATAAACGGTTCCCCAAGCTTGTTTGTTACATAAGAAGACAGGCAACCCTTTGATGGCACCAAGGTGTTAAATATATGTATATACTTCTACACTGGCCTTTGAGGGCCTTGTTGGTACAATCAGGCTAAATGACTTGCTGGTTAAGTGTATGCAAAAATTTCCCTTAGTGAAATGGAGAAAGATACAATACTTGAAATTCATGGATACAAATAAGGTAAACTGAGTGTAAAGAATTAAAGAAACTTTACCTACATCAAACAAGCATATAAGTCCCCTTAGCAGGATGTAAATCAGGAGTTCAACTTTTTAAACACAGTTGATAATTCTGAAGTGGTGGCCTGCAGTTCTAGAAAGCTTGTATTAAACAAAACTTGCTCTTTAAGATGCTACAAGACTCTTCATTGCTGCAACAGACTAACAGGATGACCATTCCAGAATGCTAACTTATTTACAGACAATAAATGCTAGCGTTTAAACTAACTCCTTTGCACCTCCCTGTCCACATACTAAACATAGGTGCTTTTTGCTTTTAGTTTACTATGTGAAACACATTCAGCCTAGTAAACTTCCTTTTCAACCAATTAAAATTACTGTGGTGGAGCTACAGGAGTTAATTGCCACAGGTGCCGTTCCTCTGGATGTAATTAAGGGATTTGGTCACAGAGATGCTTATTTTGTTGAGATTACTTTCCAGTTCTCCATTCCTAAGGA